GGCTGTGGCTGTGGCTGTGGCTTGTTGTTGTTGTTGTTGTTTCCCTAACCAATTTATGGGTACTAGATTCATGGGGTCTAGATTTGGGGGGTTTTTGGCTATCTCGAATTATCTCGAATTATCTCGAATTATTTCGAAGATGTAGGTCAGGTTGAAAGCAACTTGCATGTTTGGGATTTGTTTCTTCATTTTTTGTCATTTGTATGATGTGTGTCTTCATGAATGCCGTGAAATTTTGTTGTTTTGCATTTGCATTTTATAAATATTTGTTCTAATGCTGGCGCATGATGGTCGGTCATTGTGTTTTTACTGATCTTAAACCTGATTGCATCGGCTCGTAGCAATCGGGGGGCGGTGATGATGTCAAACAGTGTGTTTGTCGCGTTGCCTTCAGCTTCACCAATTTCAATCAATGATGTCCCGAATATATCATCAACCGAAATCCCTTCTGATCCAACGCATGGTGGAAGATGCGTATTACTACAGAAGTGACTGGACAGACATGGACCTGCATTTGGAAAAGGAGTGGGCAAGATTTGCAGAGGACGGGCTGGGCTATGACCAGGTGACCAGGTGGCCACTGGATGCAAGTGTGATTTACGAAAGCGAGAGTGACAGTGACCACCATGATCACTCCTGTCCAAATTCGAACGCTCTCAAAATCATGATTGGAAGCTTGGCTGTCGGGCTGCGGGTCCATGAGTTGGGTGAAATAAGTCAGGTCGGGAAACCTGTGCAGCCGGATTTGGTCGTTGCTTTGAATGCAGCTGACTGGCAGTACGAGCATGGCATGGAACGTGTGGAAAACACAGCAGCAGTAGATCGCCTAGCTTATGGCTTGTGGGATAAAACCCATCTACAGGGTGAGGAGTGGAACCTCTTCAAGAACGACTTCAAGCGGATGTCAAATCATCTCAAATCATCTCAAATCATCTCAAATGCGCATGTAGCATGAACTGACCTGACATATATTGGGCTAACTTTCCCAACGCATTGCGCTTAACTGGGAACATATCAATGATGGGGACATTGATGTCATAAACAATGGGCTAACATGCTAGAGTTACAGTAGCGCAATATGTGTGTTGCGCGGGGCTGTGACACTGAGTTATTAACAGTGCCAACGAGGTGTGCGCATTGCATGAGATGATGAAGGTCAGCGAGTCAGATGAACACCAGGCGGCTGGCAATGCATGACAGTGCATGTGCGTGTTGCATTGCTTCATGTAGTGCAACGCCTTTAATGTGTGTGTGTGTTTGTGAGTGCGGGCTTGCTCAAGCTAGGCCTTGGCCAGCTTTCTCAGCTCCCTGCGGCCATGGTACTCTTGTCCAAGGATCAGTTGGATGCGCAAAAAGAGAAGGGCAAAGGGGCAAAAGCCTTGACAAACAAGGTGCTGAAGGACAAGGAGAACACACCCAATGTTGTGGAGAATGTAGCTGCCAAAGTGCAGGCTGAATCCTGGCGCATTCAGAAAGAGCTCTACGCAGTGAGCCACGGGGTGACGGCTGACTACTTTGCCATTGGAAACTTCCCGCTTGATGATGAGGGCCATTGGTCTTTTGGCGGTTCGGGCTGCAGGAGGAATCTGACCCAAGAAATTCAGAGGTTTCTGCACCGGGATGCTGAGTGCAACAAGGGGATGGCTTCTGAGGCATGGATCCTATTTTGGCTGCAGCGTTTCCTGAACTGAAGGAATGGAGGCTGGCGGACATGTTGCTTGGCCTATGCTTGAGAGCATGGAAACATCGGAAAGCAGGTTACTCATATCTAGATATGGTTGAGTTCTTCGCAGGGAGTGGCAACCTGACCAAGGAGTTCATGCGGCGCAAGAAGAACTGTGTTGCTTTGGACAAGCTGTATGGTGAACATCATGATGTTCTCTACCCGCAAGGAAGTCGCCTGTGGGTGGATGCACTAAGCAACACAGTGTGTGACTCCTTGAACTGGTTTGGCACCAGGTGCAGCTCATTTGTGATGTTGTGTGCTGCGCAGGCAAAACGGAAAGAGGAGAACCAATTCTGGGGGGACACCAGTCGACTGTTCATTGTGGAGGGCAACCGCTTGTGCAATGTCACCAGTCTGTTGTTCTTTATCAGCTACCTCCTCATGAATGTTCCCTGCTTGGAGCAGCCTGCGGATAGTGTGCTTGCGAAGGTGAGTACAATGCAGCTGGTGCTGGGCTTTACCAAGGTGTGCAGCGCACGGACATATGGAGCTGCCTTTGGGGGCGAGACTAGGAAGCCTTGGATGATTTGGTCGACATCCAGGCATGTGGTAAGCCTTGAAAGAGCACAGCCAGATTCATTTGCTTGTGGTGCTGCCCTGGTGACTTGGAATCCTGAGACTGGGTCCTTCACAGGCATCAAAGATGCACTGCGTGTGTCAGAGTGGTATCCTCCTGCGTTTGGCGCAGCGGTTGCAAACATGATGGCCCAGCATCAATTCAACAAATTGATGTGAGTGACATTGCATCAGTGAGCACAGGACGTGATGCTCCAC